GTGGAGGGCAGGATTAGTGGCTGCAGACAGATGGCATCCCTGTCTGACGACATCAAAAATGCTTCTCTCTGTCTCCCTGTGCCGTGGGCACCCGGCCCAATAACGCCTCCCATGGCAATGAGACCCCCCCTGCCCCCACGAAGGACCGTGCCAGTTCTTGTGGCCCAGCCGGCTCTCTGGGCACGCCCGCCCTCCGAACGGGTCCACTCAAGCCCCACCGCAGTCCCGGAGTGGGAGCCGAGTGCAGGCGAGTGGAGACCCAAAATGCCCACAACTCCCCAGCAGCTCGACCCTTCAAAAAAGCAAGTCCACAATATTGGAGGCTAAAGTCTTACATTTGCCCCAAAGCTGTCTGTCTACCTGGTGGGGGCCTCCTCTGTGCGATACCACCCACCCTTCCCTGGAGCCCACGGTGCACCTGTGCTGCCTGCTCAGGGAAGCGCCCACCATGTTCTTTTTCATATAATCCATCTACTCATATTATTTGCTCAGCATACAGATTGAATAAGTATGGTGAAAAAATACAACCCTAGCAAATACCTTTTCTGATTTTAAGCCATTCAGTATCCCCTTGTTCTGTTTGAAAGACTGCCTCTTGGTCTATTTACAGGTTCCTCTTGAGCACAATTAAGTGTTCTGGAATACACATTCTTTGTAATATTATGCATAGCTTTTCATGATCCATACAGTCAAAAGTCTTTGCATAGTCAAGAAAACACAAGTAAACATCTCTCTGGCATTCTGTGCTTTCAGCCAAGATTCATCTGACGTAAACAATGACATCCTTCGTTCCAGGTCCTCTTCTGAATCCAGCATGAATTTCTGGTACTTCTCTGTTGATGTACTACTACAGCAATTTGTGAAAACGTCAGCAAAATTTTACTTGCATGTGATATTAATGATGTTATTCAAAGCTTTCTTCATTCTGTTGTGTTGCTTCTTTTTGGAATGGACACAAATATAGATCTCTTCCAGGTGGTTAGCCAGATAGCTGTCTTTCAAATTTCTTGGCATTGATAAGTGAGTGCTTCCAGAGCTGCATTGGTTTTGGAAAGATTTCAATTTATAGTCTATCTATTCCTGGAATTTTGTTCTTTGCCAATGCCTTCAATGCACCTTGGACTTCTTCCTTCCGTATTACTGGCTCTTGATTATATGCTACCTCTTCAAACGGTTGAACATTGACCATTTCTTTGGACTCTGTGTATTCCTTCCATCTTCTTTTGATGCTTTCCGCATCATTCAACATTTTGCAGATAACTACAATGTCATTACCACACTTTACAAAACTAAAAACAATGACATAATCAAATTAGAAAAACAACAGTTGCCATCCAGTTGATTGAGACTTATGGTGGCACTGTGGATGTCAAAATAGAACAGTGCTCCATACAGGGCTTTCAAAGGCTTTGATCTTTCAAAAGTAGATTTCTAGGCCTCTTTTCCTAGATACCTGTGGGTGGATTTGAGTCGTCTACCTTTCAGTTAATACCTCAGCTCTTGGAAAACTGAGCATGTTCTGTACTTATCCACAGTACATTACTTGATAAATCATTTTATATTGGCTCATGAGTATATGTTTTTAGTTCACCTATCCTGTACTGCAGTGAACTGTTGTGTTGTTTCTTTTTGAAATGGGCACAAATGTGGATCTCTTCCAATTGGTTGAGAGATCTGTTGTTCCAGGTATCTGTTGAGAGATACTGTAAGCAAAAGTGATGAAGTAGCTTTATACAGCAAGAAACAAAAAAGGTTAAAAAAATAATTTAGTAGGCATCTCTCAGAGGCAATGAATTTTGTATCAGATGCTGCTGTTGTGTGCCATGGAGTCGGTTCTGAATCACAGTGACCATGTACAGGGTTTCCAAGGCTGTAAATCTTTACAGGAGTAGAACACCTCATCTTTCTCCCACAGAACAGCTGGTAGTTTTGAACTGCTGACCCTGAGGTTTGCAGCCCGATTTGTAATCACTATGCTAAAGATAGATAATGTACAAATTATGAAAAATAAAAGATTTCTAATAGGTACATAAAATAATCCTGGTGGTGCTGTGGGTTAGGTATTGGTCTGGTTTAAAGCCACTGGCCACTCGGGGGAAAAGATGAGGCTATTTGCTTCTGTAAAGACTGACAGCCTCAGAAACCCTTGCTATGAGTCAGAATCAACTTGATGGCAGTAAGAATAGGTAGGTAACTTACAAAGATGGGGAAAATCTAAACTACATTTGATTGAAGCTTAGAAAGAGCTAGAGGTCCCTTTTGCAGAGCTACAGTGATTCAAAAAAATATGATTTCCAATAAAATAATAATACAACTGTATAAATAAATTAAGAGAAGTAAATAAAAGAACAGTTCATTTTAAATTTTATCAGCCAGTACTTACTTCTTTCTAATCATGTTAACAACGGAATTTAAATATTCTTCATTACTCTAAAAGTTAGAAGAAAAAAAAAAAAACTTTACTGAAAGTAAACATGCCTGATAGTTTTACTAATACATTTTTTTCCATATATAAATCTAATTTATGTGTGAAATGCTATTATGTCTAAATAGTTTCTAGTGTTTTCCCTTTCCCTAAAGAATTAAAAATATTTGTGTCATGTTGTTGTTGTTGTTACGTGCCGTGGAGTCGGTTCCGAGGCTGTTAATCTTTACGGGAGCAGAATGCCTCATCTTTCTCCCGCGGAACAGCTGGTAGTTTCGAACTGCTGACCTTGAGGTTCGCAGCCCGATTCGTAACCACTATGCTACCAGAGCTCCTTCATTTGTGTCATAAGAAAACAATTTGACTTGAACATAGTAGTTATTTCATTATCCCTTTGTTAAGCTATGAACTATCACTACACATTTGTTGTTGTTGTTGTTAAGTGCCACAGAGTAGGTTCTGACCTACAGTGATGTTTTCAGGAAGCAGTTGGTGAGCTTGAACCGCCAACCTCGTGGTTCAAACCAACTTTTCAGTCTAGTGTATTAACCCAGAGCTCCACACCAGTACTCCACATTATTTACAGTAAAAAATAGTATAAAAAATCTACATATGTAAAAAATTTTTCGTTTACAAGTATTCATTGAGGTGATTTATTTTAAAAACCAACTCTTTTTTGAAACATCTTTATTCTGTTGTTATTATATGGTAATAAGATTAACTCAAAATTACACTACACTTTTTCAGCTTGATTATCAAATTTTCTTTAGCCAACAAACTTTATGTATTTTGTCTTCATTAAATATGCTAGATTAGATGCCAAATTCATGTGCAAATAGCTTTTGGCAATTTTCTCTCAGGATGATTTTAAATTTCTCTTTTACATAACTGATGACATTTGCAAGATATGGCCTCAGGGTCTGTTAAGCATTCCTAATATAAAATTCTGGAAGTATTTTGAGCAATGGCAGTTTTACTATCAATTCTGAGTACTATTACTGGCAACTCTGCACACACAGTCTCAGGCTATTGTTTAATGTATCAGTCATGATGTAGATGAATCTATGAGCATACTTCAGTTTCTTAGCCCACAGCCATCAGTTAAATTCCGACTTACAGTGACACTATAGAGCAGAATAGAACTGCTTCATAGGGTTTCCTAGACTGTAAATCTTTAAGGGAGCAGACAACCTCAACTTTCTGCCACAGAGTGGTTGAGTTTGAACCAGCCACCTTGCAATTAGCAACCTGCTGCTTAACTCACTGTGCTACTAGGTACACTAACAACAAATTGAATCACTAGGTGATAAACACTGAAGCATATTTTGATGTATTTTAAGCATAACACTAGAATTACACTTTTTACAGATTGTATAGTACAATTTAAAATTTTTCCTCCAATGTTTTTTTAACTGAACCAAAATTTTTAGGCAAATATGCATGTCAGCAGCAAAAATATGACTATACAAATAAGTAATATGTAAGAAAATGTGACAGGATATTTTAGAAATTGTGTGTAATTTTAAGAAACTAAAGTATAACAGCATAGTTGTTTAATGTTATATATGTTCCTGTTAGTTCTTCTGGAGTCGTGGTGTGGCTCTATAAGACAAGCACTGGAAACTGAGCAGTCGGCAATTCAATCTTATCAGTTTGTCCTTAGAAACCCTAAACAAGGGGGCTATGAGTCAAAAGCAACTCTACAACTTAACAACAACCATTAGTTCTTCTATTGATTTTTAAAAATACCTATTTATAATAGAAAATTCAAATAATAGAGAAAACAATTAAGAAAGGAAAAACAAAGATGACTTCAACTCCCTGTTCTTAGAGATAATATTTTTATTTTGGAGACCATCATTCCAAAATTTGTTCATTTTTTCTTTTGTTAAAAAATTTCTATATATGAGGGTGAGAAATTATCTGCACTATGACAGCAAAATTATTTAAATCAACTTTTAGAGAAGACAAAAATATCATTTTTCTACATAATCTCCTTGCTTTTCAATACACTTTGTCCATCTGTCAACAAGCTTTTGTATTCCCTTATTAAGAAATGCTTTAGAACTGTAGATTGCAGGGATTTAGGACACCACTGGCTGATCTTGGCAGAAAAATCTAACATGAACTCCAGGGGATAAAGCAGACAGAACTTTGGCGCTGGAGGAGAAAACATTCCAACTGTTTACGTTGATGGTAGCTGCAGAAATAATGGGATAATTGGTGCACAAGCTGCATATGGAGTTTACTGGGGACCTAACAACCCACTAAATGGAAGTGAGAGGTGTCTGGAAAACAGACAGACCCAATGGCAGAACTGAGGGCAGCCCACAAAGCAATTGAACAAACAGAGTCAAAATGTAGATAAGTTCACCATTGAAACTGATACCAAGTTGTCATTAAAGGGATGACAGAATGGGTTAGTAACTGGAAACAAAATAGATGGAAAACAGCCTCTGGAAGAGATGTTGTCCACAGAAATGATTTTGAGAAGATTGAGCTTCCCAACACATGGCTATTCAGTGGAAGTATGTTCCTGGCCATCGAGGCCTCAAAGGCAGTGAAGAAGCTAATAAATTGGCCATACAAGGAGCTAGAAAATAAGACTTTGTTTTCATTACAGGCTGCTACATTCTCTCTTGGAGTCAGATTTGCTGATGGCAACTTCCAAAGTTTTCTTCCCTTTCGTTGCTATCTTTCTGTCCATTGCTGCTATCACTGTGCCAATCCTTCTGGTTGGTTGTTGTTGTTGTTGTCAGATGCCATCGAGTCGGAACCAACTCATAGCGACCCCATGCACAGCAGAACGAAACAATGTCCGATCCTGGGCCAATCTCACCACGGCTGCCACACTTGAGTCCATCAATGATGCCACCTGGCTGATCCATCTCGTTGGGGGTCTTCCTCTTTTTCTCTGACCCTCCACCTTACCCAGCATGACATCCTTCTCCAACGGTTGTTCCCTCCTGACAATATGTCCAAAGTATGAGAGATGAAGCTTAGCCATCCTGGCCTCCAAGGAGCACTCTGGCTGCACCTCTTCCAAAACAGATTTATTGGTTCTTTTGGCAGTCCATGGCACTTTTAGTATTCTCCTCCAACACCACAACTCAAAGGCATCAATTCTTCTATGATCTTCCTTTACTGTCCAGCTTTCACATCCATATAAGGTTATTGAAAATACCATGGCTTGGGTCAGGCGCACCTTAGTCCTCAAGCTGACATCTCTGCTCTTCAACACTTTAAAAAGTTCCTGTGCAGCAGATTTGCCCAATGCAATACGTCGTCTGATCTCTTGACTGCTGCTTCCGTGCGTGTTGATAGTTGATCCAAGAAGAATGAAGTCCTTGACAACTTCAATCTTTTCTCCGTTGATAAGAATGTTGTTTATTGGTCCAGTGGTGAGGATTTTTGTTTTCTTGACATTGAGATGCAATCCATACCGAAGGTTGTGCTCTTTAATCTTCATCAGTAAATGTTTCAAGTCCTCTTCACTTTCAGCAAGCAAGGTTGTATCATTTGCATATGGCGGTTGGTAGTTGTCTTCCTGTTTTTCTCTGACCCTCCATTTGACAAATACGGTATCTTTTTCCAAGGACTGGTCCCTCCTGATAATATGTCCAAAGTATGAGAGACAAAGTCTGGCCAACCTGTCTTTCAGAGAGCATTCTGGGTATACTTTTTCTAACACAGATTAGTTTGTTCTATTGGTAGTCCATGGTAATTTAATATTCTCCTCCAACACCACAGCTCAAATGCATCAATTATTCTATGATCCTTATTCACTATTTAACTTTCACATGCATAAGAAGATACAGGAAAACACCAGGGCCTGGGTCAGGCGCACCTTAGTCCTCAAACTGACATCTTTACTCTTCAACACTTTAAAGAGGTCTGGTGTAGCATATTTGCCTAATGCAATATGTCCTTTGATTTCCTGACTGCTGCTTCCATGAGTGTTGATGGGTGATCTGAGCAAAATGAAGTCTTTGACAACTTCAGTCTTTTCTCCATTTACATGGATTTTATTTAATGGTCCAGTGCTGAGGATTTTAGTTTTCTTTATATTGAGATGCAATTTATACTGAAGGCTGTGGTCTTTGATCTTCATCAGCAAGTATTTTATGTCCTTTTCATTTTCAGCAAGCAAAGTTGTATCATCTGCATATTGCAGGTTGTTAATGAGTCTTCCTCCAATCCTGATGTCATGTTTCTCTTCATATAATCCAGCTTCTCAAATTATTTGCTCAGCATATAGATTAAATAAGTATGATGAAAGAATACAACCCTGGTACAAACCTTTTCTAATTTTAAGTCATTCAGTGTTCCCTTGTTCTGTTCAAACAACTGCCTCTTGATCTATGTACATGTTCCTCATGAGCACAATTAAGTGTTTTGAAATATTCATTCTCCACAATGCTGTTCATAATTTGTCATGATCCACACAATCAAAAGCCTTTGGCTAGCCAATAAAGCACAGGTCAACATCTTTCTGGAATTCTCTGCTTTCAGTCAGGATCCATCTGTCAGCAATGATATCCCTAGTTCCACATCCTCGTCTGAATCAGTCTTGAACCTCTGGAAGTTCTGTCAATGTAAGCCAGTTTTGAATTACATTTAGTAAAACTTTACTCACATGGGATATCAATGATATTGTGCAATGATTTCTGCATTCTGTTGGGTCAGCTCTCTTTGGAATGGGCACAAACATGGATTTCTTCCAGTCAGTTGGCCAGGTAACTTTTTTCCAAATTTCTTGGCATAGATGAGTGAGTACCTCCAGCTTCACCAATTTGTAGAAAGATTTCAATTTGTATTCCTTAAATTCCCAGAACCTTGTTCTTTGCCAATGCCTTCAATGTACCTTAGACTTCTTCCTTCAGGGTCATTGGCTCTTAATCATATGCTACTTCTTGAAATGGTTGAATATCAATCATTTCTTTTGGTACAGTAACTCTTTATATTCCTTCCATTTTCTTTTGATGCTTTCAGCATCATTCAATAATTTGCCCATAGAATAAATACTTCAATATTGCAAGTTGAGGCTCGAATTTTTTCTTTAGTTCTCTGACCTTAAGGAATGCTGACCATGTTCTTCCCTCTTGGTTTTCTAACTCCAGGTCTTTGAACAATTTGCTTTAGTATTTGACTTTGTCTTCTCAAGCTGCCTTCTGAAATTTTCAATTCAGCTCTTTTACCTCCTCATTTCTTACATTTACTTTAGCACCTCTATGCTGGACAGCAAGTTTCAGAGTCTCTTCTGACATCCATGTTGGGTCTTTTCTTTCTTTCTTGTCCTCTTAATGACCTTTGGCTTTTTCCTGTATGATGTTCTTGATTTTATTCCATAACTCTTCTGGTCTTCAGTCTTTAGTGTCTAATGCATCAAATCTGTTCTTCAGATGATTTCTGAATGCAGGTGGGACATATTTATGTCATATTTTGTCTCTCATGGACTTGCTTTCATTTTCTTCAGCTTCAGCCTGAACTTCCACTTGCGTAATTGCTGGTCTGTTCCACAGTCTGCCCCGGCCTTGTTTTGACTCCTAACGATAGGGAGCTTTTCCATCATCTCTTTCAACAGATATAGTCAGTTTGATTTCTGTGTATTCCATCTGGTGAGGTCCATGTGTATAGTTGTCTTTTATGATTTTTTAGAAAAGATAATTGCAATGAAAAAGTCATTGGTCTTACAAAATTCTATCATGCATTCTCCAGTATCATTTCTATCACCAAGGCCACATTTTTCAACTACTGAGCCTTCCTCTTTGTTTCCAATGTCTGCATTCCAATCGGCAGTAATGATCAACACATCTTGATTGCATTTTTTATTAATTTCAGATTAAAGAAGTTGGTAGAATTCCTCAATTTCATCATTACTGGTTTTAATATTTGGTGTGTAAATTTGAATAATAGTTGTATTAACTGGTCTTCCTTGTCGGCATATGGGTATTATCCTATCACAGACAGCCTTGTCTTTCAACCAAGGGACAGAGGTGAGGCTATATTCTACTATAAACATATACAGTCTCAGAAGCCCTATATAGGGTCACTGTGAGTCAGAATTAGCTTGATTGATGGCAGTGGGTTTCATGTTTGGTTTTGGTATCAAGTTTAATAATCATTTTGTAACTATAATTTTTCTAGCCATGCAGAATGCAGGGCTCCTACATTAAATAAAAATCAGATTAAGCCATCTTATTTGTCTGTAGTAAACCATTACATGCTCTTTTTAGACTCACCTACTTAATTCTTCCTCAATGGTTTCAAACAAGTATTAAATATATTGTCTGCCTTCCAAAGAGGCATATCTGAATTGCTTTCCAAATTTAAAAATATTTTTCAATTTGGTGCCATGATTGCCACTGAGGACGTGGATTGGGAGCATCTAGGTTAGGGTTAAGTCAAGACACATAATTTCTATACATACATCAGCGATGGAGACAATCACCACAGAGTCCTTCTCTTCTGATAGAGTCATCCTGGAGACAACAGAAGTTAGTGTTTGCTTCAGGTAACTGTACTCTCCTCTGCTAACAGTTGAGATACCTACTGCAAAAGAAACTGCAGACATAGGAGTGTAGAATAATCATTTTAAATAACAGAAAGAAAAATAATTTAGTATTAACAACTATGCTTAATTCTATTTTTTGTATTAGTCATATGGTCATAAAAAGAACACTTAAAGCTTATTAGCAAAAAAAAAAAAAAAATTCAAACTACTGTTAATTCTTCAGCACATATTCTTTTTCTATTTGAGCAAATTTCAAGTTTGCAGTAAATTATTAATATCCATTGCCAATACATTGATTGTACCTCATAGTGACCCTATAGGGTGGGGTCTCCCCAGCAGAGTTTCCAAGGCTGTAGTCTTTAAAAATGCAGACTGCCACATCTGGCTCTCCACCTATTGGTTAGCAGCTGAGTATATAACCACTGCAGCACCTGGGTTCTTTAGATCATGAGTAGATGCATTAAATAGATTGCAAGGTGTCCTGATGTGGCCCTGTAGGATAAGCACTGCATTGCTAACTGCAAGGTTGTTAGTTCAAACCCACCAGGCACTCTTCAGAAATCATATACAGGGTCACTATGAGTCTGCAGCACTTAACAACAAAAAGATGTTCTCATGTTGGAGGATCTATGTAGGGACACAAAAATAAAAGCAATTAACCTCTTTCTCCCCACTCATCTGTCAGTTTGGGTTGCTGTGATGCTGGAAGCTATGACACTGGTGTTTCAAAAACTAGCAGGGTCACCCATGGTGGACAGATTTCAGTGAAGCTTCTAGACTAAGAACAGACTGTATGTGTGTGCTGTATGTTGTTGAATTGGTTTTGACTCATAGGGACCATGTATAGGGTTTCCTAGAACTGTTGGTGTATTTAAACTGCTGACCTTGAAGTTAGAAGTCCATGTTTATTCTGCAGCACAACAACAGACAATGAAGAAGAAATTAGCTTTCTGCTTCTAAGGGATTAACCACTGAAAACCTTATGAAATGCACAAAACACTGTCTGATGCAGTGCCCAAAGATGAGCCCCTCAGGTTGGCACAACTCAAGAGGAGACGAAACAGCTGCAAATACCCATTAATAATCAGAACATGAAATGCATGAAGTATGACTCTAGGAAAATTGGAAGTTGTCAAAAATGAAATGGAATTCATAAAGACTGATATGGTTTTTGCTATTTTGAATTAGACAATAATATGGAGTACTATACCCAGAATGACAAGTTGAAGAGGAATGGCATCACATTTATCATCAAAAAGAGCATTTCAAGATTGATCTTGTAGTAAGTGCAATGTTGTATATGCTCGGATAATATCTGTACTCCTATAAGGAGTTCTGATGTGATACTGTGGGTTAATGGGCTGGACTGCCAAGTCAATTTGAACCACAAGGTCAGCGGTTCAAGCTCACCAACTCTATGCGGGTCCCTATGAGTCAGATCTGATTTGATGGCACTTAACAACAATAACAATAAAAGGAAGATGAGTTTATACAACAGCTATTCAAAGTTACACACCCACTACTAAAGTAAGTGATGAATAGATTGAAGAATTTAGCTAACTTGTTCAGTCTGAAATTGATTAAAAATGGCAAGATGCAATGATAATTGATGGTGACTGGAATGTGAAAGTTGGAAACAAGGAAGAAGGATCAGTAGTTGTGAAATATGACCTTGGTGATAAATATTCATTGCAAATACCTCTTTTAACTACATAAAAGGTGATAATACACATGGACCTCACCAGAAAGAATACACAGGAATCAAATTGATTGCATCTGTGGGAAGAGATGGTGGAGAAGCTCAATATCATCAGCCAAAACAAGGTCAGGGACAGACTGTGAAATGGACAATGCTAGGTCAGGCTGCAGCTGAAGAAAAGTAAAACAAGCTCATGAAAGCCAAAATATTTTAGAGACCATTTAAAGAACAGATTTGATGCATTAGACACAAAGTTATTGAAGAGCAGAAGAATTGTGGGATGATAACAAGAGCATTATACAGGAAGAAAGCATAAGATCATTAAAAAGTGGATGTCAGAAGACATTCTAAAACTTACTCTTGAGACCAGAGAAGCTAAAGTGACTGGAAGAAATGAAGTAAAAGAACTGAGCAGAAAATTTCAAAGGGCAGCTCAAGAAGAAAAAGTCAAGCATTATAATGAGATGTGCAAAGACCTGGAGTTAGAAAATCAAAAGGGAAGAACATGCACAGCATTTCTCAAGATGAAAGAACTAAAGGGAAAAATTCAAACCTCAACTTGAAACATTAAAGGAGTCTATGGATGTGGCGCTGTGGGTTAATATGCCAGACTGCAAAGCCATTTGAACTCCAAGGTCGGTGGTTCAAGTTCACCAGTTGCTCCTCAGAAACCCTATATAGGGTCACTATAGGTTGGAACCGACTTGATGGCACTTAACAATAACAACAATGGGCAAATAAGGAATCCTGGTGTGGCACTGTGGATTAAGGTGCTGGACTTGTATATGCTCGGATAATATTTGTACTCCTATTCAAAGTCAGTTTGAACTACAAAGTCGGCACTTCAAGCTCACCAGCCACTCCTCAGAAACCCTATGCTGGGTTGCTATGAGTTGAAACTGACTCAACGGCACTATACAACAACAACAACATGGGCAAAGAAAGTTTCAAAAGAAGTTGGAAGGAATATACACTGTCACTGTAACAAAAAGAAATGCTCAATGTTCAATCATTTCAAGAGGTAGCAGAAGATATAGAACTGATGGAGGTGAAGAAAGAAGTTCAAGGTTGACTAACAGTGTTGGCGAAAAAAAAAAGGCTGCATGAATTGACAGAATACTAATTTAAATCTCTCAACAAACTGATGCAGCACTGGAGGCACTCACTTGTCTATGTCAAGTAATTTGGAAGACAGATACTCGGTCAACTGATTGGAAGAGATATTTGTGCCCATTCCAAAGAGACGTAATCCAATGGAATGTGGGAATTGTCTTAATATACCATTTAATACCACTTTCAAGTAAAATTTTACTGAAGATTATATAAAAATGGTTGCAACAAGTCATCAAAAGGGAACTTCCAGAAATTTAAGTCTGATTCAGAAGAGGATGTGAAACTAGGGATACCATTGCTGACATCAGACAAGATATTTGCTGAGAGCAGAGAATATCAGAGGGATATTTAGTTATACTTTATTAAATATGCAAAGGCTTTTGACTGTCGACCATGAAAAACTATGAAAAGTATTGGAGTCCTGGGTGGTGCTATACTATAAGCCCTTGGCCATAAGGTTAGTTTGAACTGCAAGGCTGATGGTTCAAACTTACCAGCTGCTCCTCGGAAACCCTATCAAGGTCGCTATGAGTCCGAGCCGACTCAACAGCCATTAACAACAACAACTATGGATAATATTGCAAATAAAGAGTATTCCAGAACACTAAATTATGCTCATGAGGAACTTGTACATAGACCACAAGGCAGTTGTTCAACAGAACAAGGGGATACAAAATGGTTTAACATCAGAAAAGGTGCATGTCAGGGTTGTATCCTTTCACCTTACTTATCCAGTCTGTATGCTGAGCAAATAATCTGAGAAGCTAGACTATGAAAGAATGTGGCATTGGGATTGGAGGAAGACCCCCAATGAGATGAACTGACACAGTGGCTGCAACAATGGGTTCAAACCTAACAATTGTGAGGATGGGGCAGGACCAGGCAGTGTTTTGTTTCATTGTGCATAGGAGTCAGAGCCAACTTGATGACACCAACAACTACAACATAAAATGCTATTCCAGGAATGGCTTCGCAGGTGTTAGACTGCAGCATGCATTTACAGTAGTTCACAAAACCTTCAGTGATTAGTCCCAACTTATCTCTTATCTCCAAATCAGCCTTACTCAATGTCTTTCATTTAATGAAGTATATGCTGTCACCACTGGACTCTGCATATGCCATTCCTTTGGCTTAGAAATCTCTTCTTCCTCTGGTTCCCTGTGCTACATCTACTAATCCTTTTGACCACAAATATATGCTTAAACCTTTTTAAATCAGATGGTTGCATCAGTTATGTATTCTATTCTAGTTATTTGTTGTTGTTGTTGTTAAGAGCCATCAACTTGGTTCTGTGCAGCAAATTGGCCTAATGCAATACATCCTTTGATATATTGACTGCTGCTTCCATGAGTGTTGATGATTGATTTGAGCAAAATGAAGTCTTTGACAACTTCAATAATTTCTCCATTAATATGAATATTGTTTACTGGTCCAGTGGTGAGGATTTTTGTTTTCTTTATTTGAGATGCAATCCATACCAATGGTTGATTGTTAATTTTTATCAGTAAGTATTTTAAGAGTTATTCGATTTCAGCAAGTAATGTTGTATCATCTGCATATCGCAGATGCCACGGTTTTCTTTAAAGATTATTTCATAATCCAGCTTCTCAGATTATTTTCTCAACATACAGATTGAATAAGTATGGTGAAAGAACAACTCTGGTATACATTTTTCCTAATTTTAAAATATTCGGTGTTCCCTAGTTCTGTTGGAAGAACTCCTCTTTGTCTATGTACAGATTCCTCATGAGCACAATTCAGTGATCTGGAAAGCTCATACTTTGCAATGTTGTCCATAGCTTGTCATGATTCACACAATCGAAAGCCTTTGTGTAATCAATAAAGCGCAGGTAAACATCGTTCTAGTATTCTCTGCTTTCAGCCAAGATCCATCTTATGTAAGCAATGATGTCCCTTAGTCCATGTCCTCTTCTAAATCTGGCTTGAACCTCTGGAAGTTCTCTGTCAATGTATAGTTGTAGCCATTTTTTAATTACCCTCAATAAAACTTTACTCACATGGGATATCGATGATATTTTCCGGTTATTTCCTCATTCTACTGGGACACTTCTCTTTAGAATGGGCACAAATACAGATCTCTTCCAGTCAGTTGGCCAGGAATTTGTCTTTCAAATTTCTTGGCATAGTTGAGTGAGTGCCTCCAGTGCCACACCAGTATGGTGAAAGATTTCAATTTGTTGTATTTCATCAATTTCTGGTGCTTTGTTTTTTTGCCAA